GGGTGGGGGGGGTAGAAATTTTTTTTTTTTTTGGTAGAACTACTGCCAAGACAAGTCCAGCCAACTAGACCACTCAAGGGCGTTTGGCATCCACATTAGCCAAGCTTGAAGGGACACCCCCTCATTGTGGCTTGATAGTGAACTGGAAAGGATCTCATTTCTATGGCACCTGACTACCTTTATTAGGAACCTTATCTTTGCAGTAGGGCTGTTCACTGCCTCTGGGGGTGCATGGACCACAGATGTAACAGAAATAATATTTCCTGATAACAGTAGCTTCTCAGAGTCTGTTCTGCATCACCTTCATGCTGCTCTGTGCCCTGCAGTACTGCACATCTGGCAGAACTGTGCACAGTTCCCTCTCACCTTTCCATCCCACAGGACGCTCACCTGCAGAGCAACCTCAAGCAAATCACTTCTCCGCCTCTGTGATACATAAAATAGTGAAATCAATTGTGGGAGAATTGCTAGAGAAGGATGAGGATTTTCATAAGAAGAACACGTTTACAGGAGATGATAATGCAGGGATGCAGGACAAGTCCCAGTCAAGTCTAACAGGCTTCCAAGGAGAACAAATACACAGTCTGATTTTTACCACTTGGTAAAAATCCTTATCTGGAAAAACACAGTCCAGCAAAATCCAAGCTTTCCCTGTCAGCATGGCCAAAATGAAATGATCAGTACACTAGGGCAACTTCAGCCATCTGAAACAGGTGGCTATTCCAGCCTCAGACAGAAGTGAAGCATTAGCAGGAAAAGAGGTACTGAATCACAGAGAAAGCAATCTGTTTTCCGTGCAGTTCAGTGGTAGCGTTATCTTTTAATCTTAAATAAAGGTGCTTCCCGTAGCTATATTTTGCACATCTAAAAATATTACAAAATACTATATTTTAATTAAAATACCTGTATAGAAGAATGTATTTGATTTCCATCTGACAGAAGGGTTAAAGAGAAGAAGTCTTTTAATAAGAAAAGCAGCAGAATACACAAGCATTTCTGCTTTAGATACCCTTGAGACTAGCTGGTGAGCGAATGGATTTTGTAGTCTGGAGCTACTAAAAGAATTATTATGAAAATTCCAGTCTGTGCTGCACCTGTGTTTCTGTGCAAACAAGGAACAGCTTGCTCTCTTTTACCTCAGACTGACTTCAATCTGCCGTTGCTTTATTTCAGTAACTACGTTCAATAGTTATATCCCCAAATAAATAAAATTAATGCAAGCTGGAAACCACTTACGATAAAGAAATACAACTTAGTTAAGTGGAACGTTTTTCTAAGTTCTCTGCTGAATGCAAGTAAGATCTTGACTGCACACAAAAGGAGAGCTGATAACCTGCATTACAAATGCAGTTCCTCTCTTCCACCAAATACAGTACAAATCAGAAAAAAGAGGAACACTTCTCTGAAGCACGTAGAGTACAGCCTAGTTTTCTATTATCAGAAGTTTCACTTTTCTCTTAACTCATATTTGATTTTGCCATTTCCATTAATAGAGGAAACCTAAAAACCACTATTTGTGTTTTTTGTAAACACAAATTTTTGTTGTTTGTGTAAAGAGGCATTGCTTATCTAACAGTAACAGTTATCAGAATCCATTATTTCTCAGTTACAAAATTCGGATTTCTTTCTGTTTTTTTAAGTCAAAAATCACCTCCGAAGATCCCTAGATTCTTGTTTAAACTAGATTTCTTCAACAGCTAAATGATGCATCTATTGGCTAAATGAGGTCTACAACTTGAATTTCACTGAAAAGGTCTCTTTAGGCCTGGTCTTTGCAAGTTAAATGATCTTTTTTGATTAAAAAAAAAAAAAAGATGCTAAAATATCTTCTTTTGCCTGAACATCAGCAATTCTTATGGAACAGTCTTAAAGCTTATTATCTTTTTTTTTTTTTTGGTCCATAGCATTCTTCCGATTGTGTGATCATTCCACACAATATTTAAGTAAATTAAGAAGTAATCTAATGATTTTTCATAACAAGTATGTAGATCAAACTGAAAGTGTATCTGCAGAACTAAATACCATTTACAATTCTTATACACTTGGATTTACTGCACTTTACACTCCGCTACCTAGGGGAGGTTATACTTAGGCTTCTCTCTCTATGGGAGATATTAGGCCTGGTTTCAATTTCACTTAGAGCAGAGTATCCCCGTTGTACCGGCATTAGTCCACGCTCACTCTTCCAGAAGGGACATCACAGTCTGGGCCTCCCAATACATTCTGCGCAGTTGTATAAAAAATATTAAAATGTGTGTATAAAAAACTCTTCTCTAATTGTGACTCTTGATTTTGGGACTGTGAAGTCTGGAGGGAGCACTGCTCACAAGACAGAGAAGTTTTACCCAGCTAGGTCTCTGCAGGACGTGATGCTGGCTCTGAAGCGTTGCTGGTGCACAGGGAAGCAAACTGTTCACAAATGCCCTCGGAGGTAGAGCTCTCGGGCAGCAGTCACACACATGAACGCAAAGGGTTGCCAGGGAGCGTCTGTTCAACTGCCCCTGCCTTTGGCCGGGAAGCCTCAGGCTCCTGCAGCGAGGGCAGTGCTGGCCTCCCATTTGCCTTTGTGCTCCGACTGTCAAAAGGATTTCAGCTGGCTCTTGCCAGCACCCTGAATATTTTCTGATGGCACCAATGTCTGATTAAAGCAGACCTTGCCTTAACTCATCCCCACTCTGCAGCAGCCTCCCCTCCATTGCCCCGAGACCCACTCAGTGAAGTGGGGGCAGACTATATTAATTTGGCTTCTGACTTTTGAAACTGCAAAAATATCACTGCAAGCAAACCGCTGAGAGGACTCACTGCACTGCCACTGATTTTCCTGGGTATTCAGGTTTTGAAAGAGGAGGAAAGAACACCCGACGCGAGACATTTTTGCTCAAGGCTACGAGGTTGCTTACACCCAAACTGTGCAACAGCCTCAGCTGCCTGCTGCCTCTGCTACAAAGGACACAGCAGCACCTGCTTCTGGACAGAAAGAACAAAAACAATGACCCAGAGGCAAATACACTGGACTGAATTCTAGCAACTGTCATCTAATTTTTTCATCTGTTCAATTATGGGCAAGCATGCAGCAGTAACTTTTGTGAAAGTAAACAATTTTAGTGATTTTTCTTTGGGACTTAACTGCGCCCATCAGCGGGACAGCAGGACTCTGAATAACTTCTAAGGAGACGTGTCACAAAAACGGAAGAGGTTAGCCAGACACCTAGGACTGACGGCAGAATGAATGCAGTTCCTCTTACTATAGCTCCATTCATAAGAGCTCAAGTTCTCTGTACATAAGAAAAATTCTTCTCAGGCCATGAAATACCTGTCATGTAATTTCATAGTTATCATAGCCATCTACACCCCTTTGCTGCTTAAGGGCTCCAAGTACAAAGAGTCCAAAAAATCACACTGTCCTCTGACAGCAGAATAAGCTGCCCTTTTTACCTGGTGTACAGGACTCCTAGATGTGCCCTCATCCCATATGGCAGTGAGAGACCTGGATTCATACTCCTCTGCTCCTATATCACGAGGAGGGATTTATCCCAGTTTGACAAGGGGAGGGGAGAGACATAAAAGTGAGGAAGAACAAAGCATGCAAGGGGTCTTAAAACAAACAAGCACACACACACCCCACTGCCCTAAATAAGATGTAATGAACTACCTTCTGAAAACCAGAAGTTACTTGCAAAGTCACAAGTCACATTCTTTTCTCATAAAGCATTAAAGTAGGGGTTTGCTACAAACCAGGAGTAAATAAAAAGTATTAAATGACTCTCTCCATTAGCACAGGGCTTCATCACAGTAACGTCTGGATAATCTTCTTCACAGGTTCCCCCAAATGAGGAGCAAGGAGGTCATAGCTTCCCTTGTTTCATCATCTCCAGACCCTATTTGCACTAGCAGGTAAGTAAAATCTCCCTATCGAGCTTCAGAGGGCAGCAGGAGCCCAGATTTGTCCTGCCGTCGGAGCCCACTGCTGGCACCGGTCTTCCCACCTTCCCCGTAAACCTCTCCGTCATTTGCCTGTTGCTTGTGGCTCCTTGCCACAGGCGCTGCCGTCTTCAGTGTCTTTCTCTGAGACCCACAATCTCCTCATGTTCTGCCTTTGCCCTCTTTACAAGACCCTTACTGATCATCCCCCCCGCCTCTTGCTCCTGCTCCTTGGTCTTACTTTTCCAAGTACGCTAAACTTCTGCGATGCTCATGAACCTCTCCCAGCATCTCATCTACCAGTCTTCCCTGCCTGTCCTCCCCAAGGCTTTCTCCCTCAAGTCACCATCTCCCTGCTTTCTCTCCTACAAGGTCCTTCATGGTCATGCTGTCCTTCCCGCTTTCCCCACGAGTCCCTGCACCTCCCTCTCCACTGCACATGCAGCCCCGTCTGTCAGCTGGGACCTCTTGGGTTGCTCTGCTTCCCCTGGGGAGGCTGTTCCTGCAGCAAACAGAAAGGCACCTACCAGCAGCGGTGACCAGCACGCGGAGAGGACACACATGATGCCCAGGAGCTGGATCAGCGTCTCCATGGCAATCCGCCCCCACTGCTTGCTGGAGTGAGAGGCTGTGGCCTTGGTCCGGCAGCGAGACACCAGGGCCTTGATGGTCGCCAGGTTACAGGCCACCGTGACAAAGAGGGAGGAGAGCCCCAGGAACGCAAAGGTGGAGGCGAAGAAGATGCTGCCGGTGAACTCGTTGTCCCCAGGGCTGATGAAGCACCAGGTGCCGGGCCACTGCAGCGTGTAGCGCCCCAGGCCGGCCACGGGCAGGAGGGCGAAGGCGAACACAGCCAGCCAGATGCCCAGCAGCACCAGCCGTGTCACCCGGGTCTTCCTGTGGCTGGGCTTCCAGTGGGGCGCCGGGGG